AAGAAAAAATTATAAAAAAAAAGATAGGACTCATCCATATGCTGCCTACAAGGGACTCATTTTGAACCTAAAGATACATCCAGACTGAAAGTGAAGGAATGGAGATTCATCTTCCATGCCAGCGGAACTCAAAGGAAAGCTGGGGTAACAATTCTTATATCAGATAAATTAGATTTTAAACTAACGTCTGTAATTGGAGACACAGAAGGACACTATGTCATTCTTAAAGTGTCTATCCAACAAGAAGATCTAACAATTGTAAATATGTATGCCCCCAACATGGGAGCAGCCATCTATATAAGCCAACTGTTAACCAAAAGAAAGAGTCATATTGATAACAATACATTAATTGTAGGAGACCTCAATACTCCACTCTCAGCAATGGACAGATCATCTAAGCAGAAAATCAACAAGGAAACAAGAGCTTTGAATGATACACTGGACCAGATGGACCTCATAGATATATACAGAACATTCCACCCTAAAACGGGAATACTCATTCTTCTCGAGCGCACATGGAACTTTCTCCAGAATAGATCACATACTGGGTCACAAATCAGGTCTCAACCGATACCAAAAGATTGAGATTATTCCCTGTATGTTCTCAGACCAGAATGCTTTAAAACTGGAACTCAATCACAAGAAAAAATTTGGCAGAATTTCAAACACTTGGAAGCTAAAGACCACTCTGCTCAAGAATGTTTGGGTCAATGAGGAAATCAAAGAAGAACTTAAACAATTCATGGAAACCAATGAGAATGAAAACACATCAGTCCAAAACCTATGGGATACTGCAAAGGCGGTCCTTAGGGGGAAATACATAGCCATCCCAGCCTCACTTAAAAAAATAAAAAAATCCTGAATTCACCAACTAACTCTACACCTTAAAGAACTAGAGAAAAAGCAACAAACGATGCCTAAGCCATGCATTAGAAGAGAAATAATTAAAATTAGAACAGAGATCAATGAATTAGAAACCAGAAACACAGTAGATCAGATCAACAAAACTAGAAGTTGGTTCTTTGAAAGAATTAATAAGATCGATAAACCACTGGCCAGACTTATCCAAAAGAAAAGAGAAAGGACCCAAATTAATAAAATTATGAATGAAAGGGGAGAGATCACGACTAACACCAAGGAAATAGAAACAATTATTAGAAATTATTATAACAACTATATGTCAATAAACTGAGCAATCTGGATGAAATGGAGGCCTTCCTGGAAACCTATAAGCTGCCAAGACTGAAACAGGAAGAAATTGACAGCCTGAATAGGCCAATAATCAGTAATGAGTTTGAAGCAGTGATCAAAAACCTCCCAAAAAACAAGAGTCCCAGGCCTGATGGAGTCCCTGGGGAATTCTACCAAACATTCAAAGAAGAAATTATACCTATTCTAATGAAGCTGTTTCAAAAAATAGAAACAGAAGGTAAACTTCCAAACTCATTCTATGAGGCCAGCATTACCTTAATCCCCAAACCAGGCAAAGACCCCATCTAAAAGGAGAATTTTTGACTGATATCCCTGATGAATATGGATTCCAAAATCCTCAACAAAATCCTACTTAATAGGCTCCAACCATACATTAAAAGGATCATCCACCATGACCAAGTGGGATTTATCTCCGGGATGCAAGGGTGGTTCAACATTCGCAAATCAATCAGTGTGATAGAACACATTAATAAGAGGAGTGAGAAGAACCATATGGTCTTCTCAAATGATGCAGAAAATGTTTTGACAAAATACAACATCCTTTCCTGATTAAAACTCCTCAGAGTATAGGGATAGAGGGAACATTCCTCAAGTTCCTAAAATCCATCTATGAAAAACCCACAGTGAATGTCATCCTCAATGGGGAAAAGCTGACAGCCTTTCCCTTAAGATCAGGAAAACATCGAGGATGCCCACTCTCACCACTATTGTTCAACATAGTACTAGAAGTCCTAGCAACAGCAATCAGACAACAAAAAGGAATAAAAGGTATTCAAATTGGCAAAGAAGAAGTAAAACTCTCTCTTTTCACAGACGACATGATACTTTATGTGGAAAACCTAAAAGACTCCACCCACAAATTACTAGAACTCATACAGCAATTCAGTAATGTGGCAGGATACAAAATCAATGCACAGAAATCAGTTGCTCTCTTACACACTAACAACGCAACTGTAGAAAGAGAAATTAGAGAAACGATTCCATTTACAATAGCACCAAAAACCATAAGATACCTCGGAATAAACCTAACCAAAGAGGTAAAGGATCTATTCTCTAGGAACTACAGAACACTCATGAAAGAAATTGAAGAAAACACAAAAAGATGGAGAAATATTCCATGCTCATGGATCGGAAGAATAAACATTGTTAAAATCTCTATGCTACCCAGAGCAATCTATACCTTCCTTCAGTGCCATCCTGATCAAAATTCCAATGACATTTTTCAAAGTGCTGGAACAAACAATCTTAAAATTTGTATGGAATCAGAAAAGACACTGAATCGCCAAGGAAATTTTGAAAAAGAAAACAGAGCTGGGGGCATCGCGTTGCCTGATTTCAAGCTATATTACAAAGCTGTGATCACCAAGACAGCATGGTACTGGCACAAAAGCAGACATATAGTCCAATGGAACAGAATAGAGAACACAGATATGGACCCTCAACTCTATGGTCAAATAGTCTTTGACAAAACAGACAGTTTCTTCAATAAATGGTGATGGGAAATTGGACAGCCACATGCAGAAGAATGAAACTCAACCATTCTCTTATGCCATACACAAAGATAAACTCAAAATGGATGAAAGACCTCAATGTGAGACAGGAATCCATCAAAATCCTAGAGGAGAACATAGGCAGTAACCTCTTCAACATTGGCCACATCAACTTTTTTCAAGATACATCTCCAAAAGCTAGTGAAACAAAAGCAAAAATGAACTTTTGTGACTTCATCAAGATAAAAAGCTTCTGCACAGCAAAGGAAACATTCAACAAAACAAAGAGGCAACCCACAGAATGGGAGAAGATATTTGTAAATGACACTACAGATAGAGGGCTGGTATCCAAGATCTATAAAGAACTTTTCAAACTCAACACCCAAAAAACAAATATTCAAGTCAAAAAATGGGCAGAAGACATGAACAGATACTTCCCCAAAGAAGACATACAAATGGCTAACAGACACATGAAAAAATGTTCATCATCATTAGCCATCAGGGAAATTCAAATCAAAACCACATTGAGATACCACCTTACACCAGTTAGAATGGCAAAAATGGACAGGGCAAGAAACAACAAATGTTGGAGAGGTTGTGGAGAAAGGGGAACCCTCTTACACTGTTGGTGGGAATGCAAATTGGTACAGCCACTTTGGAAAACCATGTGGTGGTTACTCAAATATTTAAAAATAGAGTTACCCTATGACTCAGCAATTGCACTACTGGGTATTTACCCCAAAGACACAGATGTAGTGAAAAGAAGGACCATATGCACCCCAATGTTCATAGCAGCAATGTCCACAATAGCCAAACTGTGGAAAGAGCCGAGATGCCCTTCAACAGATGAATGGATAAAGAAGATGTGGTCCATATATACAATGGAATATTACTCAGACATCAGAAAGGATGAATAACCAGCTTTTACATCAACATGGATGGGACTGGAGGAGATTATGTTAAGTGAAATAAGTCAAGGAGAGAAAGTTGATTATCATATGGTTTCACTTATTTGTGGAACATAAGGAATAGCATGGAGGACATTAGGAGAAGGAAGGGGAAAATGAAGGGGGGGGAATCAGAGGGAGAGACGAACCATGAGAGACTATGGACTCTGAGAAACAAACTGAGGGTTTTAGAGAGGAGGGGCCTGGGGGGATGGGTTAGCCCAGTGATGGGTATTAAGGAGGGCACGTATTGCATGGAGCACTGGATGTTATACGAAAACAATGGATGGTGGATCACTACATCAAAAACTAATGTTGTATTGTATGGTGACTAACATAACATAATAAAATTTAAAAAAAAGTAAGAGATAGTATTGGAGAAGATATTTGCAAATATTTAACAAAATATAAAAGATTAGCTTTCATAGTTATAAAGAATTTCTACAAATCAATAACCTAATGGGTAAATGGGTAAACTAAATGAACAATTTGTATAAGGTGAATCCTAAGTAGGTAGTAAACATATAAGATACTCAGTTTCAGGAGTTAGCAGGAAAATGCAAATTAACAATTTTACACTTATCCAAGTGGCAATAAGGTGAAAATGTGACAAAACTGGGGTTTTTACTGATGCAGAGAAATGGGAAACTTTTACAGATTTTGGAGTGCTTCCTATGTGGAATTCAATTAAACAACAACTAGTAAAGAAAAATGTACTTAAGTTACATAAATGTTCATGCACACTGAGATTCATTGATCCCATTTCACCGTGTGTGCCCAGGATAAACTATTTTTCAAATTATTTAAGGACATTTTGCAGCATTATTTATGATAGCTGAAATTGAACACATTGAGAGCACATCAATAGGAGAAAGAATAGGAAAAATATGTTCGTAAGTTGGGATATTTATTTAACAATTAAAATATATAACCTGGATTTCTGTATGTTTTCAATATTACAATATTTTGGGGGAAAAAAGCAAGTTGTAATGATACTTTCAGAATGATGTCATTTTAGTAAAGTTTTTAAACAAATATATACAAAACAATATTATTATTCAGTGATACATAAAGATTATATAAATAGACAAAAATAAACATAAGATTTATGGTATATTTGTAAGAGTTTGGGAAATGGGGAGAGTGGAATAAAAGGGATTTCTATATTATCCGTCACTTGAGAAATATGACAAAATATCAGTTGTCAAATCTAGGGTATGGATTTACAAGTGTCAATTACTTTTGTACTTTAGTTTAAAAACTTCTTTTAAGATATAGAAAAAGAAAAAAACATACAGAAACTACAGGACGTACAAACCAGATGATAGTAGAAAAGCCACAAGGAACTTACCTAGGGAGTTGACTGATGGTGCTAAAACACACACACAGAAACATGAGGTGAATCATCAGAATTGGGATCATTGACCTTGCATATCAATCACCGTGACCTCCTCTCAGGAGTTGCAGCCCAGTCCCAGGGAGACCTACTGACCTGGTGGTGGGACCGGAGGCCACTCCCACCAACTCCATCCCTTCCATCTCTATAAAGGATTTCAGCTTTTAGTAGACAGATGCTATACCCATGAAAATTTGTGGCTGACATTTCTCTGTCCTCATCCCTTCCCCACTGCTTTCCTTTCCTCTCCTTTCCTCTTCTCCTCCTTTATTTCTATCACTGCCCTTTTCTGTCACTCATCATTTCCTCTTTTTTTTTTTCCTTTCCTCTCAGTCAGTTTGGAAACCAGCAGACCAAGTTTAGAAACTGACAGTTTGTTATTGACGGACTATCCTAAATCAGCACTAGGAGACTTTATCTATTACTTAGTATTCATATGAACTGATGGCATTTCTCTTTTCTCAAAGTATTTACAATCTAGGGAAATGTTACTGATGGGAAGTAAATTTTTGTTGAAAAACAAGAGAATACTTACTGTAATCTCCTTTGGATCCCTCTAAAAACACAAATGAAACCAAGAAAAATCAGTTTGGATTTTCTATTTCTGTAGTTTCAATATCATTACAGAGAATTACCCAATCAATGCCCTCAAATACCCAAGTAGGCAAGAACCTAGAGGCAAAGTCTTCTCATGACTTAATTTATGAGTCAAATGACATGAAAAAGCAGGTGAAGGTTAATAAAGGTAAATATGTAGTGAGAAGAGATAATAAACTATACATGGAAAGAAACGCTGAAACAGAAGAACATTTTAGTTATAAAATAAGTTGAGGTCAAGTAAGAAAAAAATGGCAAAATATTTACTCAACTTATTGAGAGTTCAAGTTTAATGAAGAGATGGCAAATTATAATGAATACACACACACGCATATATATTGTGATTGGATGTGCATCCTATAACCTAAAACTTTTCACTTAGTAATGTCGTGGAAACATTGTCTAAAAGATCTGGAGACAGACAAAGCAAATTACATGAAAACTCCTCATGCTATCACTATTATTTTCATGAAAGTGTAAAAATAAATAATATTAACAGTCTGGAAATGACAAATTATGTTGCATAATTGTTTAATTTGATATTTTACTAAAGTATAAGTAAAGATCTACCTGGAAATGTAATGACAATGTGGTTTTTATTCTCTGAAAATGAATGTTTTCCTGCCATACTTGGGTGTTATTGTGATGGCATTAAGTCCAAGACACACAAAACCTTCTGGTTTACACTATAATTACTTGTTTCTCCTGGTTCTGTGGATATTTGAAAACAGAAAAATACCAAGGTGCTGAACATTTTCATGTGCCTCATTGACATTTGCTGTAAAACTTAGTAACATTAAAAATAAATTCAGTGCATTTCAAAATTTTGAATGATCATGACAACTTTAAAATATAACTTGTGATATATTTAAATATCAAAATTCAAGTACTAAATTTCATGCACCTAAACTGATGTAATGACTTTGCCCAATATTTTCCTGTCAGAAGATTTTTGTAGTCTCTAGCTGACCAGCAAATTTATATTTCCATGTCCAGAAGTGATGGAGGGCAGACTGGTAGAGCTTGGGAACTTAGAAACAAGTTGGTTGAGCGTCATAGGGCCACCTTAGAGTGATTGGGCAATCAAAGAAATAAGTTGTCATTTGGCATTATGAATTTTAAATTATGGTTTATTTAGGCCACAATAAAATGCTTACTGACCCAAGTTTTCCCTAAGAATGCAAAGGTAGCCTGGAATAGAAAGAAGCTAAGATTATAGACTCTACACTAAAGATCCATAGCAGGAAATTAGTAAGATATTACTAAATTGTGTAAAAATAAGGTACATGAAATCTAAAGTCAGACAACTCTATATTTCTATCAGGTTGAGTCACTTGCAAGCCCTGTGGCTTTGGGCAAGTCATTAACATTTTTCTTATTAGGGATAACAATGTATAGTAAGTTAATTGATTTAAGAACTGCTTGTTAAGGAGTACCCTTACTGATGAGGAAAATAGACTATAAGAGGGCAAGAGTAGAAAGAAACCAGTTAGGGGTCAGCTGAAGTAGTTGAGGCAAGAGATGTTGATGCTTGGGCTAAGATTGTCATCATGGTGAGAAGTGATCTAATTTGAAATATAATGAGAAAGTAATGGGGATGGGATTTGCTGGTGGATTGTCTGAGGTGAGTGAGAGAAAGAAGTTAAAGAGGTAGATGGTCTGAGCAATTGAGGGAATGCTGGTGCCAGTACCTGTATGTGACAGGATCAGGACTTGGGTTTTGGACATGTTAAGAGTGAGATACCCCTCCTATATCTTCAGGACCACTATATTATGGTTGCATAGGTTGTTCACTGCACAGAGGGATTTGGAGACTGAAATCCCAGCAGTGTCCTTGAGTGAGGCTGCATCTGACTAGAGAAAGGAACATTCTCTCTAATTTGCACTAAAGCAACCTGTAGAGACCTTGAGCAGCCACAGGGGCTTCATTCTTTGTGGTTCACAGGGTCATTTGTAGATATTAAAATAAAATAAAAAATGTCCACAAGAGTGGCCAGCACATAGGAGGTACTGAATGCATGTTAATTCTCTCCCTTTGTTTATAGTTGCATTTTACTTATCTGTGTACCCTTATATTTCTCACATTTGGGTAGCTTCTTGCACTGATTTAATGTAGTGTTGTGATGATTAACTATTCTGAGGAGGTTTGTTTCCCAAGAAACATGAGATGTAAATGACAACAGTAGACAAGAGACATGTTTCCTTGGGCTCTTGGAATTTCAGTGCACAAGTCAAACCTTAATGTGATGAATTTTTGGGGATTTATTCCTCCATTTCTTAACATTTATATTAAAAAGGCACACTGAGTAGCTAATATTCCTGAGTTCTGGGATATTAAATTTTTCTTAAGTATTCAGATTACTTTTAGTCAATTAGGAGGTGGATAAAAGAGGAATTGGGTAGTACTGGGGGGAAAGATACCTCATGGTGTGAAGGTGAACATTTCTGAATACTTCTCAGAATCCTCTATACATTACTTTGGTTTCCTGTCTTTTTACCTAGGTTTTACAGCCCCTCATGTTATAACAGGAAAAAAACATTGATTTTCCTTTAATTTTACCATAATCTCTAAATATACTTACCTTGTTCATCATATGAAGTGTCTAAAGGATTGAGGGAAAAACATAAGATTCTTAATTTCTCATAAATAGATGTCTGTATTAATTTCTTAACAAGTCAATATCTAATTTATTTACCGATTTCTGTTGAATACAAATGCCGGAATCCTAAAAGACAAGATGAAAACATAATGAGATTCTACCTTGACAACTATGTCTACATTATTTTCTTACTAGGTGAAAATCTGTTTACCTCTTCCTCTTTTAGATCTCTGAGAGGGAACATCTTTTGGGGGAAAAAAAAACAGATTAAGTTTACTAACAGCTCATCAAGAAATATTTCATCATATGTCTAAATCCAAATAGTAGGAATTTTCTCCTTTCCTAGATGTTCCCATTTCCTCTGGATTCCATTTCAGGAAAGGAAGAGAGGATGCCATGGTTCCTCACTCTGTTGTTCATGACAAATGAATCACAGAAGTAAGAGGAGGAGGCATGGACCAAAAGGCCAAGTGTGGGGCATGACAGCAAGCAGACTGATCAAGCTGTCTCCTCTCTCCTTTTGGAAATATGAACCTTTATGCTTGTAGAGTGTGTGTGTGTGTGTGTCCTTATAAAAAAGTAGGGTGTCTTGGAATCTACTTAGAACCATTAGATTTCTGGATGTTTTATTTCAAATAATCTTTATTATTATTTTTGCATCGTCAGATTACATGTCCTGATTTGATTAATATTAATCAATTAATTAGACTAATATTAATAATACTAATAATAAATACTGAAATTCAGTTTAAAATGAGCCTTTTTTGTCTTAACCAAGTGGGGATAGTGTCATGTGAGAATATGAGTATTGAACTTGGGGCCACGAACCTGGATTTACTATCCAACTCCTTTTTTTGCTAGGTGAATTTTGGTCTCTTAAACTTTTGAATATCAATTTCATCTTCTAAAATGAAGATAATAATATAAGTTGTGTTCATCTATTGTGCTTTATAGCTTACTGTGTCTTTTCATGTATATTATGCAGTCTTCATGACAACCCATGAATTATGTTCTTTATCCCTATTTCACACATCTAGGAAATTGTTCAGAGAGGTTTCTTAGCCTTTCCAAGATCCTGGTATAAACAGGAGTTGGAAATAATTTTTTTGATGTCTTAGGAAGGGGACATACTTGCCTTTTCTGAGAAAAATGCAAAATCATGTGTATACACACACACACACACACACACACACACACATATATAAAGATGGATTGGCAGTTGGATATTATAACAGTAAAAGGTGTGCTGACCTAACAAATTGTGCTCAAAGGGAGATGAGTTTATTTTGTTCTCTAAAGAACACATTCCTCCATTAATTCTGTAGTAGTTCCTAATCTATTTACCTCTACCATCCTCATAGTCCAGAAGACCAGCACCTGGAGTAAAAAGGAGAGAGTGCTTCATGGTTTTTCTTCTTGAAAAGGAGTGGGACTTTAAGACTCTGAGAGCTAAAGTAGAGATAACCCTCCCCCCCAAAATGAATGATGATGGGAATTAATTTACATTGCAGGAACTAGGGACTGCATAGCTGGAGCAGATGATGAGTGACTGTGCCAGTCACCAGTTTCACTAGACTAAATAGTAATCAGGAGGGGCCTCAAATTGCTTTTCCTTCTTGGTGCTCCAGCACTTAGCTCCTGTTTTCCTTCTCTTACTAATCCTGGGCTATCTTTCAGCAATTCTGGCATCTCACTAGACATTGCCATGGAAAATCTGCTTCACATCTTCACATCTTGAACTTGGTGCTCTTCTCAATCATAATCATCTTAGTTGTGTTTACTCTTTTATTATTCCTGCTACATTCAATTCTTCTACCCAGGCACCTTGCTGAGGCTCTCTTCACTACCAGAGATAGACCTTCTATTCCACTGCCCAAGGAGTCTGCTGTTTTCATGACTTGGTATTACTGTTGCTGCTCCACAGGAGGCATCTGAAGAGAACCTCAGAATCATGCAGACCTACCCCCTATTAATTTATTCTGCCCAATTTCAGTTTGGCACTCCGTGTTGCATAGAAATCTCCAGTGGATTTCTCCCAGTAAATTAGAAGTTCTGTTCATGGAATGATGCATTATGCATACAATGGTAAACAAGACAGACTTGGTCCCTGATGTATGGAAATTCCATTATGCTTTCTATTTTTCCTTTCCTCCTGGGTCTAAGTACTTACTTTGTTCTGAACTGTATCTTGATACATCAATTTCTGTGGAAGAATCAAGCAAAAATATTACTATTAGTTACTTGTGAGAGATATTCTTCCTCCTGACCCACCTCTCCTCACTCTAAACTGTGTTTCTGTGCTCCCAAAGTGGCCTTCTTGATATGATGTATTAATGGTTCCTACCTTTTTCTAGCACCTGCAGCCAGCTCAGTTCTACCTGTTCCTCCACACTTATTCTCTGAGGGCTCATAGGTGCTGAGATGAGAAAGACGGTCATTGGGGGGGGGGCAGGGAATGCAGCTGACTAGAAGGGAGTGGGGAAGATACTGAAGAAAATCCTGGAAAGAGAGACCTTATGGCATGGAAATAAGTCATTGCCTACAAGAGCCCCATCTCTGTTTCACTGATAAATACTATTCTATATTTGTTTCTTCTTATCATCTCTGTAGTATTAAGTCACTAAAATTCTTGAATTCTTTTGATATAATACTAACTAGTGGTGTCTACTAGCACAGTATCTTTTCTTTTCCATTTTATTCCTTAGATAATTTCCCTTAGAACTCAGATAATTTTAGAGTATTCTCATTATTACTATTTTTAAACTCAATCTGCTTTTTTGGGGCATTGACATTATTGGTAATGTGAGTTTTGGGAGTTTAAAAATGCAAGGGAAATCACTAATAGGTCAAAGACTCTTTTATTCATGTTTTGAAATGGATTCTCAGAATACTGGCAAAGTCTCCAGTTATCTAATAAGTAGAAACAAACTGTAACTGAATCTTGGCATCACTTCCACTATGACTTTCCCAGGGAATTTCCATTTTGACTTGTTACTCACCATTTTGCTTGTGCCGTGTCCATCTTGTTAATAAAATAGCCAGAATGGCAAGTCCCAGTAGAGTCAGGATGACAGCCAAAGTTATTTCTGCAACAAAACCTCACCTGTAGGCCTGGTTATTTAGACCTGGCCATTATCAGAGACAACTTCTGGTCACCTCTTTTCTGTTTTCACCAAATAGACGTATCTCCTCTGCCCCTGTTTTCTGCTACCTGAACTCATTTCTTCCTTTATTTTCCCCATTTATTTTCTCCACATTCCTTCCCCTGCCTATTTTTTATGTTGGTCCTTTTGGTCAGATACTAAGAACTTCAATTGCTGTGCACTCTTGATTTAGAGTGGAAAATGTGACAAATTTCCTCCTCAATTGAATCCCTTAATCTCTGCAGGCAAAAGGCTAGAGGGATTCAGTGATATGCAAAGCAGTCCACTGGTGTGTGAGAAAAAAAATATATTAGTTCTATTTTTATGTAATTTTGTATTACAACTTTAAAATTCTAGATTTTCTGTTTTGAAATATATATTATTACAGTAGTATGTTTATTACATATATTTGGAATGTGTGTGTGATATACACACATATATAATGTGTGTGCAAAAATTTTTACATGGGTGAACAATCAAAACTTTTAGAGACCCCTGACTGAAGGTGGTCATATTAATGAAAACCACAGCAGATGGCATAAATTGCTTATCATTGGGAAAGACCTTGTAGTCATCATCCACGAAGCCCCTCATGATAAGACAGTGGTGATGACTGTTACTTTGATTGATAGGAGAAAGAATGCTGAAACTGCTTAACCTATATCTGTTTATGTATAATTCAAGAGACATATCTTAATTAGATATTTTGCTGTGGTTATGAAGAACTGAGACTAAGGAGCCTTTGGGAGAAAAAAGGCAGGCAGGCAGGCAAGCAGAAGGAAGGAAGGAAGGAAGGAAGGAAGGAAGGAAGGAAGGAAGGAA